CCCCAAAACCCCAAAACCCCAAAACCCCATGATGGCAGAATATCTTAATTAATGGTATAAAGTAATGTATATGTATTTATTATAATTGTAGTAAGTACAAGAACCAAGAAATTAGATTCTAGTTACAATTATCCGTCAGCTGCTCACCAAAATATTCTTTGCTTTATATTCAACCTTAAAAATGATCTTTAATAAAAGTATGTATTTGATAGATAATAAGTCATGTAATACTATTAATAAACTATTACACCAGACTCTTCATCATAAATAAATTTATTTCTTTAATGAATCTTGAGTCAATATTGATATTCTATTAATTAAGGATTATTATAATTAAAAGTGATAGATACTACTCATTATAACTAGGTGATAGCTAAATCATGATGATGACAGATGAAGGAATGCAGTGCGACAGCTAGCAAATGAACTGATCCTGGCCATGTCAAATTAGTATTAGATTTAGTAAAAGCACTCTATGATCCCATTGATCATTATAGAGACTACACTCCCAGCAACCATCATCACAGCAACTATTGCTACCACTTATTATTAATATAGGCTCAGGTTAATTACTTGGAATCAGCAATCCCTCAGCTTCGCATTCCGCTCATTCAAACTTCGATTTGAACGATTACTTGGTGGGTGAGCCTGCAGCTGGACTGCCTAGCATTTTGGTGTCTTCAAGCATTTGCTCTCTGAAGCGGACCTCATCAAGACTTTCGTCAGTGAATTCCTGAGTCGAGTTGTATCCTAGCTGCTCATCCAGGTGTAACTTTGAAGCACTCAGAAACTTTGACTTTAGATCCTTGTAAGAACCTATTCTTACCTGCATGTCCTACTCGTCAGCATTTCCAGAGCCAATATCATCTGCAATATCTAGGAATAATTTCTGTGATAAAGATTTGGACTTCAATGGAATATTATTTGAAGTTGATGCTTGAGCCCCCATCAGTTCTGATATTATTTTATGATATATTCAAATGTTAATTCACACTTACCAACAGTATTTACTTCATGGGGTTTTGGGGTTTTGGGGTTTTGGGGTTTTGGGGTTTTGGG